CATCTCTAGCCCTGCTACTGGGTTGCTGTTAAGGAACTTAAATTAAGTTACCATAATGGGTATATATAGTAAATAATAGGGTTTCCCCAATATAGTAACTTAATTTAAGTTCCTTAGCAGCAACCCAGGCTAGTGTCTCACCTGTGGTCCCGATTCCCCGACAGTATATTGGGGTTATATTGGGATAATGGAAAAGAAAATGGAAACTACTATATAGTATATTGGGGTTATAGAGGTATAATGGAAAAGAAAGTGGAAACTACTATATAGTATATTTAGTCTGCGCTTGGGACCTTGAGGCCCTCCTGCAGCTACACCATGCAAGCCCCACAACCCTATTGACAAGTATCTATCGCTTATATGAGCTACTGTCAATGTTAGGGTTACTAAGGGACCATTAAGAGTGGACATAGGGTCCATCTTGTAGCTTGGTATAGTCATGTATAGTCCCAAGTATAGTCATATAGTCCTTAATAAGGAGTCCATGTCCATTCAATTATGCAGGAAATGTTGACTGTAGCTCAAAAATGAAAGCCTTGGCGATGGGCAGGCGGCAGCGGCTTGACATGGAGGCGGAGCTGCTGCGTTTCCGCACAGAGGACCTGAGAATGCTTGAGCACACTTAAGATGTCCGTTGGTCGAGAAACGCTTCCTGTACTGAAATGAGACGTTCCAAAAAAAAGATGTCCCTGCCCTTGGGCTTGTGCAGAAAGACTCTCCCCTGATTACTTGAGTCTACGAGTTGCGCCTGGAAAGACAGCACGGTAGGGAAGGCTGAGATATCTGCAATAAACGACCTTGTGGCTTCATCACGTATGACCACGCATAGCTTTGCTCAGAGGACACGCTGGAGTACCTGGACAGCAGCCCGCCGCTAGACATCATGACGAGAGACGTCTTCATGTCAGTGCTTTGACCAAGGCAGCAATTCACCCAGCGTCTTGCTTTCGATCCCACTGCTTCCCCTTGCGTGTTTTCGGGCCTGCAGCTGCAGTACTGCCATCCCGGAATAACAGCAGCAACAATAGCAGTAAGAGTATCGACGATTCACAATGATACCATAGCAATGCTAGCAGTACATTTTTGCTTATAGATCATATCAATGATGATGACCGTGGTATTGCCTGCTACTCACTTAGAAATGCCAAGGCCTGATGGCCACGTCTCCGAGCAAGAGCTCCTGCAAGCCATGCTGCAGTGGCATGTGGTGGGCTGGGAGGGGGCAGGATATGGGAGCGTAGAGCCTTTGCATCATGTTTGCCAAAGTAATCTGCAGGATGATTCAATCTCAACTAATCACGTCTGGGAGACAAACAAGCACAGAGGTCCTAAAATGTAGAGAGACGGCTGTGAACTGTTTCAGGTGCACGCGCGCTTCGCGGCCACAAGGCGCTTGAAGTGTTGTGGCACAGAATTCGCACGACAAACCAAGGGTAGACAGCAGCAACAGTAAAATTGGATGGGTTCTTCGTTTTCGAGGCCTCCTTGACGCTTAAAGTGTTGTAAGGGCCTGCTGAGGGGTTCAACCTGGATGAGTCGCTGCAGTCCAGATGCAAAACAGTAAAATTGGGACAGTATGCTTGCTGAGAGTCGCCCGTGCATGGTTCCCTGCCCTGACGACAGCCTACTCATCAGAGATGGGCTACGCAGCCAAACCATGTTGATTAAGGGAGGGTGTTGAGGATTGGCCGAAGAGCAAGCATGTAACACCAAGGAAATTTCAGGGCAGCTAGGTTTTTTTTTTATCAGGATGATGATGCTTTCAGCACAGGAAGGTCAGGAGGTCCCATCACGCGCCTCCACCCCAGCACACGTTCAACAAATTGCTTATGTGGACCCCGAGGCTGAGTTCTGCAAGTCCCAAGCAGTAGTCGTACCATGTAAGACAGGGCTCGGAAGAAGAGCGCGCACAAGACGGAGGCTGAGTTTGCCGCGAGGCCGAGGGGTTCTTGACCTTGTGAATGCCGCTGGTCATTTTGACCCCCTTTGAAGTTCACGGTTTGTCTTTAAAGGTGGTGTTGCAACATCAAGCCTGAGGAAGCATTGTTCTTTGCATTTGGATTGTTCGACAATTTCTTAAACTGTGTTCGCATCAGCCACAGGGAAGCACACAGTGACTACGGTACTTGATGTAGACAAGTTCGAGGACCTGTCTCAAAAGAGTTTTGAGTGGCATGCTCACGCAAGTCGTTAGTTTCTGCAGGTATCGCGCGCAGCGAGAACCTCGCGCAGAGCTCTGACCTAGCATCGGTTTACGGTTTAAAGGCTTGAGGGCACTGCAGCAGGGGCCTGAGGCTGGGCGGCGGAACAGGATTCCAGGATTTGCTGCGAAACGGCGCTGATTGCACGAAGAGCGTGCGACTTCGCCCTTAGGGTAGAGGATGCCGGTAGACCAAAGTCTCTCTTGCTTACAAAGGAAAAAGCAGCACCCAAGACGCCACAAAGTTGCTGCAGCAGTGTCTGTCAATCCATGCGGTGATTAGCCACGGGCTTGAGCCCACAATTTCCTTTGTGATGCCCGTTGCAAGCATTGTACGCGCTTGTAAGCTTGACAACGGACTTGAGGCCTTGACGTCCTTTCTGCAGGCCAGCTGCCAGATTCGCTTGGATGGGAACCTTCCTTAATCCTAGTTCGATTGCCTAGCTGGACCACGCCCTCCGTTCTCCCTCGAGTCGTTGCCCGAAAGGGTTGTCCAATTATGCTGGGTTGCCGAAGTTGGCAAGGCTCGCTGCAACTTCGAGATCATTTTTTCATCGCAGTCAGTGTGCAAGTCAGGGTAGGTATGGGTAGGTTACCTCGGGTGACCCAAGCGAGCTCAATCATTCCCAGTGCACAAGGCGCTTCACCAGCAAATGATCTTGGCAGTGAGATAGCATTGGGAAAGATGATCTTCTTGCCTGCCAGCCTTGAATCAGCTGCGAAGTCTACTTTTGGCTGAGTGCAAAAGGCATGCCCTGAACAATTTCTTCTCCACAAAGACCCACTCGCTGCCACTCATGGCTTGGGATCCGTTGCCACAGCAGGTTGCTCCTTTGTGGGAGATGCTCGACAAGGCTTCTTGGGCTCCCTGCGAAAAGTTCAAACATTGTGGGCTTTTGTTTGATTTGGAATAATACCGGGTTTCTCAGAATCTGGACGCACGTCCTCCTGCTGCCTCAAGTTCCCCGGCTCTGAAGAATGCCAAGCCCTGAAAACCTTGAAGCTCCGCAACTTGTCAGGTCGTGTATGCGGGTCGCCCGCAAGTGAAATACCGAGGCCCTTGGGCAGAACCGCTTTCATGGTCTGTTCAGGATGAGGGTTCAGAGTTTGGGGTTTATAGAAATAAGGGAGGCTGGTTAGGCTTAGGCCAAATCTGCGCTTACAGTAAAACATATATCAAGATATATGGCTGTCTTCTGGGCTGTATGGAAGCCCACTATCACCTATATTATATATTACTATAGTAGTTTCCATTTTCTTTTCCATTCTCCCTATTATAATCCCTATCTAACCCTCATATTACCCTTCATATTACATATTACCCCTATTATCACCCTTATTATAACTATCACAACTGCTTTTGTTATGTCCAAAGGCAAAGTAAGGTTTGGGGGTTCGGGATTAACGTAGACCCATGAATAATAAACCCCTCCTTTTGATATCTGTTCATAGGGGCAATGCAGGGGTAGTACAGTAATGTAGGGAAAAAGGGATTATATAGGGATAATGGAAAAGAAAATGGAAACTACTATGTAGGGTTATTAATAAACTCCCTCCTTGTAAGGGCCTTAATATTAGGATGCCTATTATCATCCCTGCTAAGGGGAGGGGGTTTATTAATCAGGGGTCTACATTAGGGCCGGTGAAGGGGTTGGAAATGAGCATTGCATGAGAATTGGGATAGGCTGTTGATGCAGCTCTCACAAATTGCAAGGGAGGGGCATCAGCATTTGGTTGGTTGGCAGCAAACTACCACCGCAAGGAAATCCAACGATCTCTCAGGGATCCAGTACCAGGCACACAACCCCTTCACAGCCAAACCTGACCCCTGCTTAAGCTTAGGTTGTGGGCCTCTTTCCCCGTTGCTGCCAATCCGAGCCGCGGGGGGTCCCAGCCCGCAGGTTGAGGTAAAACATCTAGAATCATGTGGTAGTTTCCCAAAATAGGGGGACCCCAATATAGACCCCCAAATACTATAGTCCTTATTATGGGGACCCCCAAAATGGTACCCCTACTTTGGGAAACCCTCATGTTGGGTCTAGTTTTGGTGAGTTGATACAGGCTGCCTGAGCCAGATGAGAGAGTATTGCTCTGAAAGCGACCAGGAACATGGTGCGACAGAAGCAGGTTTGTCATCATCTACTTTGTGCTCAGTAGGGTAGAGAGAAAGGGTTATAGGAGTTATAGGGACTATACCAACGAGCCTTTATCGGGACTCCTATCAGAGTGGCCAGGGACATGGTACCAGATGCTTTTGGAGTTGCTGGTCTGACAGTTGACAGGCATGCTGAGAGTTGCCTACTCTATTGCTCTCCAACTACAGCTGGCATAAATCTTTCCTCTGGTCCATTTTTTGCTGTCGAATTCTGGCCTCTATTTCTATGCTTCTTACAATGATTACCAGCAGGAATCAAGATATTCCAGTGGTCCTCAAACGCAAGGCATGCGACACTTGACTACCTTGATGCCCGCAGCTTTAATTCCAGCTGTGTTTGATAGGTTTCTTCCGCTGGTCGCCATGCTTGCGCGAATCGCCACGCTCAGCTTGACAGCAGTTTTCGCACATGCAGACGTGCATGTGCCCACGCGGGAAATCGCTGCGGGCGTGCAGATGCCGGTCATCTCCATAGGCGCAGGGAACCTGCTTGCTTCTGTCCGCTTAAACCATGCTCAAGTGTGAGAGCGACAGCTGAGGCCCCCCACCCCCCACGTAGCGGCAATGCATAGGGCTCTCATGGATCTGAGGATCTGTCACAATTACAATGCCCATGGACGAAAGAAGTTAACTCTGCTGGAAGGTATTGGCGGGCTGGAGACGGCAAACGCGTCCGCCATAGTGTCAAACTGGCTCAAGCTTGGTGGACGAGGAATTGACACAGTCAAAGGCTCAGACATGCAGAGAAGATCGGGTGCCTACACTTTTGGGGGTGCCCATAGTAAGGATTATAGTATATTTGGATCTATATTCCCCCGGCTACCTATGTACCTATGATTTTGGCACCACTGGTGCTGTTGCTAGTATCCAGTAGATTCTAGTAGTGTTAGGAAGAAGACTACCGAACTGCCGACCCTTTGTCTGAATTTAAGGCCTTGGTCTACAGGGACCAAAACGTCGTGCCACAGGAGAAGATGCAAGATGCAGCAATGGATTTGCAACCTTGAACCCCAGCACCTCTTAGTATGGCCAGTCCGGCACTCGTGCGTAAGATCAAGAACTGGGATCTGTGGTTTTCGCTTCATTGCCTGGGGTGGATACGCGAGTCTGGTGTATAGCAGCAATCAATTTGGCCGATCACAATGCTATGTGGCAATCCCAAAGTCTTGGGAGTATATTCTCTCACCATCAGTGCAAGTTCGGGGAGAGACATGCAAATGCGCATATGTACGTCCCTTTCTCTCTCTGTCTCTCTGTCTCTCTCTGCCCCTCCCTCCCTCCCTCTCCCCCTCGCTTCCTCCCTCTTTATATGCATGCATACATACACATTTGGACCCATGTAGATGTGCACACACACGCATGCACACATGTGCAACATCACGTTTAGGCTGGAAAAGATAGAAGTCCCCAGCTTGCAGGAGCTGCAAAAAGCAGGCATTGATCGCAAGGACGTTTTCATCACTACCAAGATGCCTGGCTGCCGTTAACTAGGGGTCAAGCCAGCCTGCGCTTGCCCTCACAAACCCTGATTCCCCGTTTATGCTGCCCTCAGAAAATGCCAGCATATGAGTCAGTATCCCAGCCTGCTTTACCTGAGTTCCTAGTCTGTGGTGTAATCTGTGCTCACTTTGCATAGCAAGGGTCCGTGTACGATACAGTGAAGGCGGAGACTGGCCGCCACTCAGAAACAGTTGGATAGTAGTAGCGTTATGCAAGTACATAAACCTTTCACATTGCCCTATCATAGACTTCTACCCCTATACCCTAAACCCAAGCTGGGTTTCTGAGGATTCCAGGCTGCGACTCGGCAACAGCCAGCGTTGAGTACGACCTCAAGCAGCTGCAGACAGCAACTTGCCATCAGCTAGGACAGTTAAGGTTATATAGCGGATATATAAGGCTTGTGGTACAGGGATAATGGAAAAGCAACAGGAAGCAACCATTTGGGGATATTCGGGGCTTAGGGCGATTTCTGTCTGTGAGGGGCTCTGCCATGAGGAACATCTACAACACCAATACAGTTTAGGGTTTGCAGGGTTCAGGGTTTAGGGTTTAGGGTTTAGGGCTGAAAAGGACTTCAGGTAGAGCATGGACAGGTTGTAAGCTGTGAGAGGATTCCTGGAAAATTTTGACGCAGGGAAGATTCCTGCAAATGTGTGTTGTTGCTAAGCAGACATGCTCGTTTTTATGAGGTCATTCTGGTAAACATTTGCTTTATCCTGCCAGTGTAAACCCTCCAAGACCCTACATGAGAAGCATCTTGCAGTGCCTGCTGTAAACAAATCATTTCCTAAACTGGTGGATGATGATTGCTGCCATAAAACCGCTTGCGCAGGTCGACTCTGAACGTATATGCGAGTTTTGTATGGGGGCTTTAAGTCCTGGGTTTGCGCGGCATTTTACTGCGCAAAGGCCTGCTATCTCCAGTCTTTCAACCCTAAAACCCTAAACAATAAACCCTAAAACCCTAAACCCTAAACAATAAAAAATTAAAACCCTAAAACCCTAAACCCTGGAAATCTGGCCAGTCCAACCTGGCTGGTACGGCCTACGAGACCGCCAAGGTCCAGCTGGCGTGGCCTGGCCTGCCCCGGGTCGGGCTGCGCGGGACGAGAAACTCTTCGATGCCCCCATCCAGTGCAGCCCTACGTGACCCTAAATACCTTAGGAGGACCCCCCACCCTGTAATAGTGGTATGATAGGAATATAAGAGGACCCTATTATAATCCTTATTATCCTTTATAGTCACTATTGCAGGGTGGGGGGTCCACCTAGTAAATACCCGTCAAACGCTGTACCTGAAAACAAGAAATTAGGAAGCCTTTCTGTACATCCTGGAGCTCAGGATTACATCGACCTGCTGCTCATTCACTTTCCCAAGGGCGACTGTGCCAAGGCGGACTGGAGACTGTGCTTAGCCATAGGAAGGGGTTACATCGGGACGAAAAGAATCTGTATGGTGTCTATTTGGGGTCTAGATAGGGGTTAGACAGGGTTTGGGGGTATTACCCCGTAATGGAAATGACGTGGAAAAGAGCATGGAAGGTTCTGGTATGTGGATGGCCTTCTCAATTGTGTTCCAGTCAGCCGGCAATAGGAATTACTAAGATGTAGTACATACTATAGTCGTTTCCATTTTCTTTTCCATTATCCCCAATATCACCCCAATATATACCATATAACCCCTATATAAACCCTATACGACCCCTATAATCCCTAGTAGTTTCCATTTTCTTTTCCATCATCCCCAATATAACCCCAATATATACCATATAACCCCTATATAAACCCTATACGACCCCTTTAATCCCTAGTAGTTTCCATTTTCTTTTCCATTCTCCCTATAGAACCCCTAGTTGTCCTTGCCCGCATCAAGCGCCTTCGAAGGCTTTTGAACATACATCGCATCTACGACCTCGTATAGGGTTTATATAGGGGTTATATGGTATATATTGGGGTGATATTGGGGATAATGGAAAAGAAAATGGAAACTACTAGGGATTATAGGGGTCGTATAGGGTTTATATAGGGGTTGTATGGTATATATTGGGGTTATATTTGGGGATAATGGAAAACGATGCCTTAGCTATGTTTGGAAAGGCATGCAGAAGGCACACCGTGCAGCAGCCTGTGCATCTAGTAGCCTTTGAGCACCACCCACTCAAAGATTCCTCACATGCGATCCACCTACGCACCAAAAGGCATCCTTCAGTTTGGGCCCTATGATGGTCTGCAAGGGTGCGCAACACCAACCTGTGTCCTGTGCCGTCTGCTTTGTCTGCGCGATTTCTGCCTTGAATGGTGATAATACACATTGCACCACAGCTTTGGTTCCTTGCATCCTCACACAATTCGGAAGTGCATTGTATGATTCACATGAACCATAGTCTAAACTCCTCAAAGGGGGGTTATATAGGGGATTATATAAGAGACTACTATAGGGCTTATTAAGGGGAATACTAGGAGTTTAGACTATAGTACATATAAAATTTGCGCACCTGGCAATCTTCCTACCACAGTCCTGAAGGATCTCAGCTCCAGTGTCCCGCCAGCTTAGCTCATGTGGTAGTTTCCCAAAACAAGGGGACTCCAATACAGACCCCAATATATCATAAGCCGAATTATACGGATCCCCCAAAACGTACCCCTAGCCTTTAAACCCGGACCCCTATAATACCCTATAACTCATTGTCTAGTCCCAGTTTGAATTTCATTTTCTATCTTCTTGTCCATTTGATTCTCCAATATTGAAAAAAGGTCCCGCACCCTAAACCCTAAACCCCTAAGCCCTAAACCCTAAACCTTGGGAAGCCCCCATTGTCACTTCGTGCTGAGGCCTGGGAGGTCCTGGAGAGCTACCACAGCAGCTGGGCCTGACACTTGAGCTAAGTGGGTGGATTTTGGGAATAGAAGTGTGTTAGAGGCAAAACAGAACCCTCAAGACCCAGTAGAAATTTGGGAACGTAGTCCGGCCCCTGTTGCAAGTTGTTCATTTAGACTCATTTAGATTATCTTCTAGTCGCAGTTTTGATGGAAAGTTGCAGGCAAGGGTGTCCTCAAAGCTATTGGCGTCAGCAACTTCGACAAGAAGTCTATGGACGCCCGGGCGCATGAAGAAGCTGCAGCAGATCAAGTTTCTTCTGAAAACTAGCAGAATCATGCTAGGCAGCCAATTCCTCGTCTTGCAGCGGTTCACAACAGGTAGAGGGGTGAGCTTTCGATGCTGTTGGATGCTACTTCGCCGGCACATGAGGTCAGGGGTCCGAAATGGACATTCTGGGAACCTCCTTAGAAGCGATTCCGAGATATTGGGGGCATGATGAGAAGTTGAGATGGAAGGGTTTCGGGCTTAAAGGTTGAGAGGCGGCCCGGCTTGTCCATGCTGCCAGTACGCGTGGTAGTCAAGCAGCTTGATTCAGCTTGCATATGAGCCAACGTCAATACTGGCTTGTAAAGAGTTATGTCAGTAGCGGACATGGGAAGCAAAAACGCTGTAAAGCGAAGGGAACATTGAGAAGCGACACCCCAGAGTTTTCAGGTGAAAGCCCTGTAAAGCGATGGGAATATTAACAAGCGACACCCTGAAATTCACACCATTGTAGGTTAATCGCAAAGCCTTGTAAAGCGATAGGAACATTCAAAAGCGACACCCTCAATTTGGCGTCCATTGCCTAATGTAACCGTCACTCATATGGTTTCGATCCTGCTGTAAAGATGCTTTGCTTGCAGGGGCCACATTGCTTGAGCGTACCGCGGGGAGGTTCATTGTGAGTGGGGTTGTTGGCAAGACAGCTTCTAAACTCATGTGGGATACCTCACGGATAACTGGTTTGATGTGAAGGAACTTAAGTTGCCGTAATCCGTACATATTTAATACATATATATACAGGAATTAATATGATGCCCCCATTATTATACTAACTTAAATTAAGTTCCTTAACAGTACCGCGATAATGCGCGTTCCAGGAGTCGCTCATGAAGACAGCCAAAGTCAAGCCAGCTGCTGCAAGCTCAGTGCAAGTCCAATGTCTTAGAAAATGCCCGCGTTACGTATACACCATGTAATATAGGGCCTTTTAGGTCGTGCGCAGTCGTTAAACATTTATTCCACCGTAAGCTGGCTAACAGGCTTCTGGAAGGCGGTCGAAGGCGAACTAGGTTCTCCGCCATATGACTGTCGAGCTAAACCTATGCAAGAGGCAACATGTCTAGGCTGGTCAGAAGATTCAAAAGTGTGTTTTGTATTTCAAGCGATAGGGGCCAGGCCAACCCTCATCTGGTACCCCTCCAAACCTCGCATAATTGACAGGGGCCGACCCTGTTCTGTATCTCTGCGCTATGATGTGATAACAAGAATAGTAAAACTCATCGAATTAACATGAAAAGGCATACGAATGGTGCTAGCAACAAGAAGTTCATTAATAAAAATTAGTAACAGCAGTCTCAGTAATCGCAATATTCACGAATTAGCACCGCGCCCATGCCAGCACAGGTGGTAGGGGGACCACCAAAACATTATATTCCTTGTTATAGGGACCTCCCGAAAAGGTAAACCCTTTTGTAATCCCAGTTTCCATTTCATTCGCCATTTCTTTTCCATTCTATCTTCCAATAGGTCAACCAGATTGAGCTCAACGTCTTGGAGTATGACGCCGAGGCTTGGCCCCCTAAACTTGCGGTTGATAAGAGAAGGAAAGAGAAAATGGAAACTATTTAGGGAATTTACGGTTTACTGTAGGGTTTAGGGAATCAATGGCGCAGAAAAGGGAAATTGCTATATGTTACAGGGCTTAGGGAATAGGGTTTAGGGTTTAGGGTTTGACCAGAGTTCGGGTGTTGGGGCATAACCCTGAGCGGAGCCCGGTGAGGCTATCCAGGCGTGAGCCACAACCAAGTCTGTTCCAAAACGTATATGATCCTCAATACATGGGGGTCAAATGGACAGGAGCATGGAAGGAAATGGAAACTGAGTTATATAAGTAGGGTTTACCAGAATTCTAGGGCTTAAACAATGTATCAAAGGCCCCGCGAACAGCGTGGATCACAGGTTGGGGAGAAGCGCTGCAAATCGGTATATCCCTCTACAACTACAACCACATGAGCTATGTCCAAACTCCTTAAAGGGGATTTTTTAGGGTTTAGGGTCTCAATTCCTGAAAGGGGTTTACATCAGGGATTATATAGGGGAGTATTGCAGGGTTTATTAAGGGGAGACTAGGAGTTCAGACACTGGTTTGCATATGGTAGTTTCCACCAAAATAGATTCCAATACATTATACGCCTTTTTTTGGAAACCCTGTATAATCCCAGTTTCCATGTCATTTTCCATGTTCTTGTCCATTCGATTCTCTATTATTGAAAATGGTACCCCTAATTCTAGGAAGCCTTAAACCCTATGTGAGCTAGAGTCCAAACTCCTTAAAGGGGGTTATATAGGGGATTACCATAGGGGTTATTAAGGGGGATACTAGGAGTTTAGACAGTGGCTCATGTAAATATACCCCTATAGAATTCCTATAACCCCAATTTAAAGGAACCCCTAGTTTGATTTTCCCTTATTGAAAAAGGTACCTGGCCGAGGGCGGAGTGAAACGGGATGTTTGGGCAGGTCTGATTCTTTGCCACGTTAGTACTATTACTACTGTTTTGGGTTTAGGGTTTTTGGTTTTGGGGGCTTAGGGTTTAGGGTTACTATACTATTATCATTGTTTTAATTGTTACTATTGCTATTATTACTGCTACCATTATTATTGCTTATTGCTATTATTGACATGTGGTGAAAGAGCATGTTCAGGGCCCCGATGTACACCTTCCAAAATTTCATGAAAGAGAACCATTGGTGGCAAGTCCCATGCGTGCTTAGATTTCCCAGTAGCAAAAATGGTAGTAGAAATGACAATGGTAATAATGGTAATACTAGTAAGAACAGTAAGAACAGTATTCAGCCGCACTTTTACCCCCATCTGAAACTGACGAGTGGCATGTGAAGCGCTTTCGCGGCTTGTTATTGCCCCTAAAGGTCTCAACCGCGTGTGGCAGCAACCATATGACGCTTGCACTGCTCCGTGGTCATTTCTCGCGTTGACAAGCCCCTCTCACGATATAGTTTATACAGTTTGAATAGTCAGTCATTAATATGATATATGACCGTATTAAATGCATGTAAATCATTTAGATATTGATATTGAATCAGTAGCAAGGACGAATAGATGACAAAATAATCTCTCCATTGAAGGCTTTGGCTTACTCCGAGTCCTTGAACATCACTGTGGAAGCCTTCTCTCCAGTTGGCCGCAGTGGCCATTCTGGAGACATTCGCCACTCGGACGAGCTAAGAACCTTGTTGCCATTGCAGGTCTTGTCCTTATCACCCGTGTAACATTACACTCAGGCGTCTGAGTAAGCCCCTGCAGTCTGCTGCCCAGGTGACAACAAGGTGGTCAAAGGCGTTGCGGCCAGCCACAACATCAGCACCTACCAGGACACTTCTTTGATCAGGGCATATTGTGAAGTCGTAGATCGTAGACAGGCCAACTAGATTCCAAAGTCACGGACAAATCTTTGTAAGCCAAGCGCCGGTGCTCGCGGCCCAGCTGCAGCCAGCACGAAGCTAGAACAAGGGGTGATTTTGCAGTCGCAGCAATGGCTGATTCAATAGCTTCTAAAGAACATGAGCATATACATGAGTACTGCAATAGCGATTTTCAGTGCTAAGCCCTGTGCTCGCAGGTTGCTCTGAAGTGGATTATCCAGCATGGACGGCTTCTGACCTTCCAGTCGAGCTCGGCAGAACACCAGGCCTCAACTGGGGGGGATATTATGAGCTTTTTTCTTTCAACAACCACAAAACATGAACCTCAAGGGGCCCCCATTTTCCCTGTCCACCATCCAGCAATTCACACATCTGTAGATTTCCCCACATACCTTAAGGTTGCATATAGGATAAGGATCGCTATCTTAGCCCCAGTTTCTGGAGGTTTCGGGCTGAGGGTTCTGCATTGAATGTGAAATTTCTTGCCGAGATTTTCCAAATTGTAGTAGTAGTAGTAGTAGTAGTAGTAATGTTTATTGTCGCAACACTAGTATGGTTCTCAAAGTTTTGCAGGCCTCGCCCTGCGGTTATCCTAGGTCCCGCCCAATCCGCAAAACTCGCGTCTCCCACCTTCGCAGTGAAGGGTTTAGGGTTTAGAAGACTTCCCTACCCAAATGGGAGTTTCCCAAAATTAGTGGTGCCACTCTGGGATCCCTGATAATAAGGACAGTCGTATTTGGGGGTCTATCTTGGGGTCCGCCCCCATTGCTGCTATGGGAAACGATCAAAATCCACTCCACCCCACCACCCCCCCCTGCTGTACTTAGTAGTTTCCCAAAATAAGGGGATTATTATAGGGACCCCCAAAATGGTAACCCTAATTTTGGGAAACCCCCACTTCTTGTCAGCGGAACTGTACTGATCAGTCCGCACAACCATGGCGGAAAGGATGGTGTGCATGGCCGTGTTAAGGACAACCTGCCAAGTAATGTTACTACTATTGTTGCTATTAATACCACTATGAATATGATTACCTTTGGGAAAGTTTTTAGTCCCCCTTAAGTAGATAGAATATGGGGTATATGGGGATCTTGTTGTAATATACCCAAAGCCATATTCTATCTACTTAAGGGGGACTATAACATCATCTATAAGGGCAGAGGAGCAGTTGTATTGCTTGACTATCTAGCTCTCTTGGTTATCCTAGAAGGGAAGGGTCATACGATAGTGATGGGGCCTATACTTGGAGGGAATTGGGGTAACTAGCCAATCTCCCCAGCAACCCCGGTTGCTGTCGTCTTGCCAGGCCTCAGATGCGGCCATCTTTGACTTTGAGCTCAGTGATTCCGAGATGAAGGCCACCTTGGATTTTCCAGAAAATAGTCATACCCTTTCAAGGGAATATCGGGAGATGAGGAGCTGGGGTTTCCAAAAGTAGGGGTACTGAGGTACCTTCTAACTAGCCTGTAGCCAGGATTGAATTACTTGGGAGTATGACGTGGGCTCCTGTCTTGAGAAATGTTTAAATTCCAATGGGGAACCAAGGAACTGTGGCCACAGGCCATGGCTTCATAAGAAAATGGCTGGTAGAGGGCCAAATCATGCTCTGCAAATATGCTTTCAGATTCCTTCGCAACATTCAGGGTACCAGAAGCATGGAAGCTCGGCTCATCGTAGCCGCGGTGATGAAATCAGGCTAGGCCGTTCGTTATCCCATGCTGTTGCTGCGGCTGAGATTGCTGCCGCAGCTGCGATTTGTCATTGAAATGGTTATGACATGGTACAGACTCAAATATCTTGGGGTGAAACATCGAGGTTGAGCTGTGAGAAACCCCTCTGTGGCCTTGAGTCTCTCCATGATCTAATCCCTGTCCTGCCCTTGACATGGCCCATAGAACCCACAGGTCTTGAGAGAAACTTCTCACGTGTTTGCCTTGCTCAGGCCTTGGATGCCTTGCACGGGGGCAGCTTGATGGCGCCAATCTACATGTGAGTAGTATTTCACATAGGGTGCTTATAGTTCGCAATGTTATAGAGTCAGATGAAGGCCTCTGTTTAGTTATACATAGAGTACTTGACAAGAAGAAATCAGTCTTACTTGGTTCAGCCGCCCATGAAACTACTCATGTGAAAAGTGGCTTCGGCTGTGCTAGGCATTTGTGTATGAGATGTTTACAAAGACGGCTAGCAACCCATTAGTGGGCTGGATCTATTGTTTTTTGGGGCGCAGGGTTAAGCGCAAGGGAGGTATGCCACAGCGTTTCACTTTGCACCGAACTCATAGGGACAGCAGGCGAATCATCGAGTGCTGCGCTGCCGTTTGGGCAATGCGGACCGTACGCGCTGCACCGAAAAGGAGCGGTTGGACTTCGTGGAGTTTTGAGCGCTGCAGAATGTTGACTGGGCTGCCTTTGTGAGGCAAGTTTCATCCGATTCAAGCAGATGGGGCGTGGCCTTCATGCACCTCCAGAAGAGTCATTCCCCTACAAGGGGAGTCCAGGCGAGAATGCCATGCGCAACGTGGCTGCACAATTGGCAAATTCATGGCTCTGCTTCTGGAATGCATGCACTACCTTGCTGTGAATGTTCACCTTTCCTTTGATTTGGCAAGCCAAGGAGGCGTACGGATCTCAGAGACACCAGACAGATCCGGGGAGGCACGGGTAAGCTCCGCTGAACCCCAGTCGCGTAATCATGATCCCGGAGATGCTCCCAGAATTCCGTGTCCCAAACAGAATATCGGGACACTCGCTGCAGAGAAACCTCTGAATTTTTGGAAATTCCCATGCTGCTCCCAGGTCAGAAAGCTTAGCATGTGCAACATGCCACAATCGATTGCATCTCTTGCGCCCCGGCCTTGGTGCATTGTACCCCTGTGCGGCCTGGTAGTACCCGCATGTGCATCCCATAGCAGAAATGTCGCATGTGAGTACGAGACAAGCGCAGAAAGGAACGTTTGTTCTTGTTTTGGGGGTGGGCGGGCGTGTAGCAGCGCCGTGGGATTGCAGGTTTCAAGCCTTCGGGAGTGGTCGTGAGGATTCTGCTATTAGAATCAGCAGCCACTCTGGTTCCTCTTCTTTCCGGCTCTTGCCTGAAAATATACCAAAATAGTATCCCCTGATTAATCCTCATGTAACCATAGTAACATGAAGTACCCAAGGCCTTTTTCTGATGATTTAGGTCCCTCGATGGCAATTTGATTCTGCATCATTCTACTCATTCAGGCCCCTGAACCCCAAGCCCCCTGGAGCCCACTCAAAGGGGTCCTCAGATCCCTACATGAATCATTGAGGCCCCAACTTGCCGCTTCTTCGCAGGGAATAGAGGAATGGATCCCTATCGTAGCTCCCATATCATCCCAATAACACGCACACAATGCTTTCTGTTTACTTTATCCCTTCCTTACTTCCCTTACTAACAATCAGCAGGATTGAGTTCCTCCAAGACTCCAGGTTTCACTTCGAATTCTTGGTCCAAGCTTATCCTCATCTTGAAGTGCTGCGAAGAGCTCAGCATGATCAACCGCTTGAGGCTTAAGGGCTTAAAGGCTCAGGCTTTAGATTCGTCACCTGCAAGGAACCTACGTGTGCCTCTTCTCGGCTACTCTTGAATTATTCTTTGTGACCAAACCTTTAAAAACGCGGTCGAAAGCCTCAAATGGGATACGATCTCATCAAGCGCTGCCTGAGGCAACGTAATGTCGGGCACCATGACTTAGATTTGATCAGCGTCTTTGGAAAGGGATGTCGTATTGCGTATCTAATTTGTATGTACACAGCATTTCTCAACATGTCCCTCATGCAAGCCCTATGATTTGGACTGCGTTGGCCCATGATTTCCTCATTATCCCATGTATCTGCATGGTCCTAAGGCCTCAAGCGCACCCTTTTTTGTTGAGAGGCTCCCATGGGTTATGGTTAACGGCCCACTTGCACAGATGTGCTGCCACACTTCAGGCCAACGCTGCGCACTTTAAACATTGGTCCGCGACTTGGGTCCTATGCCGATTTTCATGCATCTGGGAAGGGGGCTGAGGGGGGGGGCTGAGGGGGAGTTGAGATGAGTGCTGCGATTTTTCGGGCTTGAGGTCCTCAAAATGTGGCTGGTTGCAGTGCTGTCCAAGCTAGTTCCACTAAAGAAGGTACTACATGGTACTACGACAGCAAGTCACTAACATGGCCACGACGCGTTGAGTTGCTAGGCTAGCATACTATCACTGCATATTGCGGCCATCAATACTGCGACTTGTGTTCCAATTGCCAGCATTACTTCTGCCTGCTCCCGCTGCAGTCATCCTTTCGCAGAAGTTACCAACAGTGACATCACCAGCTGTTGATGAGAGCAAGCACCCCGAAACCGTGCCGAAGCCATTGAAATGGGCAGGAATTGCCTTGATCGCCGGGTTTCTCTCTCTAGGTTTCGGCCAGGGCCCTGGGAAGCCTAAAGCATGGATCCCCATCTAGTGGCTTCAAACAGCTTTATTTGAAGCCCACAAGTTACTCTAGCAGGAAGGGGATGCGGAATACCTGTTGGGTCTTCTGGCTGCTGTGGCTCAGGGGTTGCGGACTTCGTGCTGTACATATGGGTGCGAAGCTTACGCTTGAACATCAGCCAGATTCTCACTGCCTGCATCATAATACAGTAATGAAATGTAATGAAACACATGGCGGGGCAAAATCAATCAAGTAGCTAAGCTGTTTTCAATGTGGCCTACATTTGTGGGCCATGCAGAAGCTCGCGAGGTGGACGATGCTTTCGTCCGAAGGCGCAGACAAAGAGACACGTGTTAACATTTGTCAAATTGGCTGCCCCCTTGATGCCGCACACAATTATTTCTAGACTTTGCAAACAGATCCGCCCCTCGCAAAAAACACCAACGCGATTAGAGAACTTGCTGGCTTGCAACTCTTGCAAGAGGGTGTATTGCCGGTCCATGTGAGGTAGGGCTGTTGCATTTGTGGTGCTGGTGTTGGCGGCTGTGACGGATGGTGGCAGTCGCGCTGCTAGGATGCCAATAGCCGCAGCAGCGGCAGCAGTACAACAGTTATTCTTTTGATCGTTCGTCAGATGGGCATAAAAGGCAGAAGGTCTCACACCAGCTAGTTTTTACGGCTTTCGGGTTGAGGATCCGGACGTCTCGGGCGCATGGACTGCCACACATACCCTATTACAGTTAGGGGGTTATAGGGTTTGGGGTACCTGATAATGGAGAATAAAATGGAAAAGAAAATGTCACATGAAATGGAACCTGAGATTATATAGGGGTTTATAAGGTGGATAATATGATTGTGTCGGGATTCGCGTTGCCTGCCTTGCTTGCTGAGTACAAGGCCTCGTCGGTGGTTCTCTTGGATCGTGTTGCTGTCAGTTTGCCCACCACCGCCCTGTTCGCCTCCAGGAAGTTTATTGTTCCTTGCTAGGCTAGGAAGCACAGTGACATCATCTTGCGCATCTGGTGCATGCGCGCATGCTGTTTGCAGCTTGCGTGTCACGGTGATGGTGGGCTGCTTCTACATGTGTAAAACTAGAGACCACAGTTAAGGGTGCCATGAATTACAGCTCATGCTGGCAGTAACAAGAAGCTCGTGACCCTCCATTACATCGTGGAGATCCTGGCTCGGCTTCCCACAGTTTTCTTATACGGCATCTACTTGAGGCTGGGCAGCGAGAACAGAAGGTTCAGGGACTGCGGTCTAGATGTTTAGCAGCATGTAGGCAAGGGAAGGTCTAATGAGTGTGGTGCTGAGGGTCATGAATTTGTATCGTAACGTCGGGCTGCAGGCTTCAGCTAGCTGTCTGAAGCATAGGAAGCTCGGCCTGGCATGCAGGCCAAGATACGGCGCTCGGCCATTTGTTACTTTGTTTCTCACGGACATCGCGCTGACGTCCTGGCCTCACCTCACGCAGATAGGGAAAGAGATCGGCTTCCAAGACCCAACCCAAGGTCCAACTTTCCGAGTAGCTTCCTATCACATCAAGACTTCTGCAAATTCAGCAACCACCTGCGTTGGGCTCTAGAGTAGAAAATGCAACACGGGACCACCAACTGCTCAGCAAGCCTTTCATGAGGCTTCTCTATGGTAGGAATCTCTCTCTCTCTCTCTCTCGTCATTCCAAAGAAAAGGTTCGGTGTTTGTTTGCCGAGGTGTGCCTTGCTTCAGCTGGCAGCTCAGCGACTCTTGCCATGCCATTGCAGCCAGCGGCATGCGACGGGTGCCGGCTTGCTCGCGTAAACTTCACAGGGAATCCAGATGACGGGATCCAGCATCAAGGATGAGATACGTTTCACAATGTAGGGTGCCACGCTGAGGTACACAAAGCTGTCTTCCCAGCGGGTCTCCTGGACAGGCGATGCAGAGGCGACTTGCGTGGAAGGGTTCTCAAAGCATCATAGTATAAGTTTTACGACGTCAAACTCAGGTGGTTGCCCCATCCTACCAACCAACACTTGGGACACTTGAGGCTTGTGGGGCACTTGGGAAACAAGATTCTAGAAAAGGGTGTTGCAAATAATGGGCACCTGCATGGACTCCGCCCTGCCCCTGTCTCTTTCTCCACCACTACCTGGGCATCAACAATCAGCAACAGCCTTGCCCGAACTCCATAAGTGCAATCTTGCTCCCCCAGTCCTGGACCCCACTCACTGACAGTTGCACAATGTTCGTTCATGTCTCTTTTGGGTACCGCCGCCACTCATTAGCACTTGGATAATATTCATATTTTAACTATATAGCGCCCTTAATATTTGACACCCATTATAGACTGTTAATGGGTGGGGTGGGGGCAGGACCCAACCTAAATCCCAAGACCCTAAATCCCCAAAACCCTAAATCCCTAAAACCCTAAACCCCCAGAAACCCTAAACCCTGAACCAACTCAAACCCTTCCATTGCAACGGTACCAGGCCAGGGGTTCACTCCGGAAGCCTTTGGCAGACGAGCGATAGTCTAAACTCCTTAAAGGGGGGGGTGGTATAGAGAATTATGTAGGGTT